TTTAGAAATTAACGTCTGGAAATGCTATCGTAATTAAATATGGCATCCTCTGGGGAACGGCTTTAGGGAAATACTATTTAGTTTTTATATGTATACGATGTAAGTGTGCAAACGTTAATACAAAATGATCAAGTCGAGGATCGAGCCACGATCTCTGGCTACCATAAGTGCGTGTCTGTGGACGGCGAGCAAGGGTAACACGCTGCCTAACCAGAACCAGATCCGAGCGTACGGAGCGTAGCGTTACACACGCGCCCCAAAGAACCAATAGACTACCGCAGATGGTGGAGGAGTGGGGGTGGGGTCCAGCAAGTAAGAGGCTCCTCTCACCTCACCCTGGGCGAGAAAAGTTATTTGATAATTTGCCACTTACAAAACCAAAAAAACATTTTTTTTTCTTGGATAGACTTGGATAGATAGATAGAGAGTTGTTATTGCTAACCTAATTATAAAAATAATATTTACATTTTATATTAATTGTAAACGTTTAAAAATTAATACAACTATATCATTTAAAAACTTACTTTCATTATTTCCTTCAGCTCCTTCAAAATCTAGATGCTAACTCATTAGCGTTGTGACGTCGAAAGCATTGAAGATGTGACATATTAATACTTTAATATTAAGTTTTTCTTGCATCAAATATCACTTCCCTTCCCAGCCATGTTTTCACATAATATTACTTTCAAGCCCCTCAAGTCTGATAAGAATTTTGAATAAAAACTTCTTGATAAATTTTCCGCTGATATTGTTGGCAGCTTGTCATCCTTCCGTATCCATTTCCTAGCGTAAGTCGAGTCTAGACAAGAATTTAAGAAAATTCTCCTTAAAGTTAGAAGCAAAGCTTTTTACAAAATATCGACGTTAAAAGGTGAAATTGCTTTCTCAATATTGCAGAATTTTTCGTAATATCGAGAGAACATAACAAGAATTACTTGTAGGTAGACCGAGTTTTATAAATTGAGACTTTTAGTGAGTAGTCACGTGTAGTACATGGTTTAACTATAAGGTTAACTGCTTCCACCGCACTCGAGGTTAAACGAGCAACATTAAAGTGAACAGTTTACAACTGGCTGCAAAGAAAACACTAAGCTTTTGAGCCGCGCCAGAGACATTTTTGTGTTCTACAAACGGATTAATGTGCACATCATGACCCTTTTCCTCTTAATGCTAGCTAGCAGTATAAAGCACAATCAAATTCTACTTCATTCACATCTAGTTCAAAAACATATTAAGTATCAAAAAGTTTTCCCTGGCCATCCCAAAACATTTTTATTAAACAAGGTTTCATAAAAAGATTCGTTCTTCAGTAATATTTCAAAGCCGAGCATTGTATTCGTTTTTTAATATCAAACAAGTAGAAAAGTTTCTAAATCAACACAAACAGTAAAATTGTTAGGCAATAAAAAAGTCAATTTAACGTTCGTCGGTACAAACAAAACATCCCTTTGTAAATTCGTTGGTCAAATGAATAAAAACAAAAGAGCATTAAATTTTACATTCAGTATTTCCTATTTGGCTCTTTGTAGATAACAGAATTTGAAAGAGAATGACATGTTATAATCCATTGAGGCGGGCCGGTGGGCATGTGAAGAGCGGTTACCGCACCGCCGGAATCCATTCCGAGCGGGCAGGCTTTGTCCGTCCGAACATTTTACCACACACAAAATACTAGGCTGAACTTTTCAAAGCGTTGAGCACCTTCGTACTTCATAATTGGAATAGTCTGTTGTTCAATTTGTAACAATTCGAAAACGAATTACATTTTTATTGACAAAGCTAGGCGACCATTTTATAAACGAATCGCTTTGACGTTTCGACGGTCAAAAGGCTGGCTAAAACTTTAAATTGATGAATTTTATCTAACGGCCGGTGGAAAATATGAAAACTGGACTGAAGTGTTTTTAGTGCAGCGGTTGCCAGAACGATAGCGTTTTAAATGAATGTATCGGATGAAACATCGTGTTGACGATATTTTGTTGAGATTCATTTTCTGTTGGGATTATTTATATTTTTGTGTTCGAAATAAGGAGTATTAAACTTTCCATTTTAATAAAAGAGCAAATAAATAAGTTCAGGTGAAACACTCGACGTAGAATAGAATCGAATCTAGCTTCATAAGTAGTGGCTAAATAGATCCACACTATTTGGCTAGTGAGAGAATTCAAACAGTTGAATTGGAGAGTCCCGTCCGACAATTTGCTTGGTTTCGCTAAGCGTTGGCTGCGGCGCACAATAGACCGGTGGGCGCCAACGCTTCGTACCTACTAATTCGCGTAACTACGCTTTTCCAATGTTCCCAAACTTTAATTGCTTTGTCATTTGTTGAATGCTTTTGTCAACCTTAGTGACTATTGTTGTAGGATTAAAATACCAACGACTCTTGTAATGCTCAGGATCGCGAGTAATCAGAAAAGCTGCTTCATTTGAGGATTTGAGTGCCAAGTGCTGAGGGTTGGGTAAACCATAGGTAATTAGCGAGATACGTTTCGGATGCCGTCGCCGGCGTAATTAACATTTCGAAGCGTACCTTTGCATTAAAACAATGATTTATTATACCCGCTCCGTCTACGCTTCAGTTTGCGCTCACGGAATATTTTCGAATTTGTATGGACTTGAGTTTTGTTTTTATGCTGCCAGTAATGTTGTAGATTCAGTGACCTTTGCGTTAGTGTGCGTGATTAGGTTTCTGATTATTGTTTGATTCGTTCAAAGGCCCCACAAGGTCCTTTATCCTACTTGTGTTTTGAATGATTTAAAAATCATTAGGGATGGTCTATGTTTATGAAGGTTTATGTTATCATAATGTTAAAATAAGTTTTTAATAATGTGTTTGAATCAAATTTAATTTGTAATACTATTTATATGGTGTTAAATGAGATTAAACATATAAAAAAATATGTCAAATATGGAAAGCATTAACAACACAATGGTGTAATTGTAAAAATTGTATGTTATTAAATATTATTTTATTAAGTTCTAAATATATTATTTTTATGTGTTAAGTACACATAAAAATTCTTTTAGGAACTTAAGTTGAACTAAGCAAGTTGACACATACACACTCACAATCACATATCTATGACAATGAGTGCACTTGTCTGAAAATGAAACTCACTCAAAATGAACTTTGCAAGTTCATCGAAGAGTCCTGAAATTCAGCTAACAGCTGCATATTCCATTCTATTCTAACGGAGAGGAGGCGGAGCTTAACCGGCCGGTGGGCGGAGTCTATCATCGGAATTAATTTCAGTTTCCCATGACAATGTTTTGAAACCGAATATTTCAGTGAAGTGCTTTTAACGGACCTGGTTTCTCTGGCACCTGTAATCCACTAGTTTTGCATTTATACCTATTATTTATTAGAGATATTGGAGACTCCTCATTAATAACAGCCAATTCTAAAACCGCATTGGTTAATTACTACTTCGTGAATAAATTCTCTGTCAAAATTCAACTGGCTGGTTTTTAAATAATTTCTTTCTTTACTACGTTTGTGATTTGTATTAAAAATAGAAATATTATTTCTATATCTATGTTTTTATTAAATGAACTTTCTGCAAGGTAATTGGTTTATACCTAATAAGCACCGCCCACTAATTATTTGGGTGGCAATTAGGCTTAATTTTAATGAGGAATTGAGTTGACATGAATTCTTAATTAAACTTTCTGCTTTTTCACAGAAAGTTTTTGGACCGAACAACCTACTTAGTTTAGTTTATTATATGGACGCTCGACAAGTTTCAAGCTACCACTGGGGCTCATAATCATGAGTAACATGCGAGGCGGGCAGATTTGTGCAACCAAATGAAACGGGTTAAGAATCCCGTATGCGGCTCGAGAGTTTTCGTGTAGTTGTGTGAAATAGCCGACTACGGCAATTAAGGGATATCTAAAGAAAGCAACACATAAAAAGTATACTTAATTATTTTAAAAGACATCATTTTGACAAAGCATTAGGCTTTAATATTGCATAAACATCGTTCCTATCTAAGAGTTGAACTCATGCATTATGCCAGGATAATATAGTTCATGCGACATATGATTGTCTTCAGTCACGGATATGATAAACTAGTGATGTTTTACATTGATAGAATCCACATTGTCAACTTCTTTATGCAAACTGCATCACGAACTTTAGAATTTATTTACATAAAGCTATTTTTGTCTAGAAATAGGCGGCTTTTGTTGTTTTTAGCCTTAGTACTAAAGAACGCTTGTAAAAGTAAAAGAAAAAATAGTAAAGTATTAAAGAAAATTCATAAAAATAGGTTTTCGATCTTTATTGTGGCGTTGAGAATTAAATGACATTTGAAAAAATATGGCAGCTAATCTCTATAAATATATATTATTAAAATATGTATATGTGACGGCACAAAACGCAAATAGTTCATTGTTTTTTGGGAGCCATAAATAAGTGTGTATTTCCTATTCGTATGTTATTTTCCTTTACACATATACATATAAGTATATGATACGTTATTCATTCGTGTCTATATCGCATTCATTCATACATTAATTGTCCACTCGAATGTCACGAGTTTGTTTAGTCTATAAAAAGTAATGGAAGGAAAAACCATTCATAGACTGTAGTTAAAAATAGATGGCTATTCATTCATACTGGCGCACGTGGAAAACATGGGCTATTTAATGAAAGTAGCACCGTATAAAAAGCTACAACTAGGCCATATAATTTATAGAATAGTTTGAAAGACAAGGTAACGAGGATTCGGTGCACTAGCTAGCTTTGTCAACTACTTGCGGTAGTTTCAAGTTACCAAAGTTATTAGAGAACGATGCGACGGTCAGGCGTGTTAATTGTTTAACTAACTGTTGTTAGACCTTCAGACAACTATTAAAGAGTAATTACCTAGGTCCGCGGCGAAACGTGCGAACTTTCCACTGAAATTTTGTTCATTATTTAATGGCTTTTTGCTCTTTGTTTCGTTGCTGTTCTGTTGTGAACTGTTTTTAGTGTTTACCTTTATATGTATACTTGACTAGCTCTTGCCCGTGACTCTGTGCGCGTGGAATAGTGACTTCTTGCAGATTTTTGGTTTCAAAACTATTCTATGTCCATTCTCGAGTTCGAAATTATGTCTGTACCAAATTTCACAGAAATCGGTTTGTAGTTTAGGCGTGAAGAAAAGACAGACAAACAGAGTTACTTTAGCATTTATAATATTATATAAGTAGTAGAGATTATATGTATGATGTGTTGGTACCAATAGTTTACGAATTGTGTGTTAACCCTGACCAGAATTGTTGCAGGTAAATGCTAGCTCTTACAGTGAAAAAAAAACGAACAGTAAATATTAGTGAAATTTTTCTTTGTTCTTTAAGTTATTTTCCTCTAGCCTTGTTAAAGAAACACAAACATTTTTTATAGAGTTTATTTCATATAAGTAAAATACCTATAAATAACTTAGTAACCTACTTTATTATCTTATAGGATACATCAAAAAGCTTTTAATATTTAAAAAAAAAACGCTAGAAAATATCCTTAGCTGTAAATTGTAATTATCGACTTTCTTCTTCATTGTTAGTGAGTGATTGATGTTGGTGTTACGCTGACGGCGAAATTAAGTACAAACTTAATAAATATCACGACGCAAGATATTGTACAGTCATCCTTACTTTTAGTAACATTGTTCGTTCTATGTAAGAGATATGGAAAATGGCTGTATTTTTCGTTAGATGTAGTATGCTGCTTGTAAAACTAAATGTTTTTTTAATGTTTTTTAGCCAATAAATATTCACTTAGACATGGTACCTTACATCAGTTTATGTGTTTTTACCTTTATATTCCAGCTATTCGAATGACCTCCTGATTATTAAAAAAAAAATAACAGTTCGAATTTTGAATTTATTTGAAGTAGAATTTTGTTTTTAAGTTCTGATGATGACATTATGTAAAAAAGATATTTTTTTTAAATATATGGACATATTTTTAAATTTATTCTCTATACATGCCCTGCCAACTAGCTTTGCCCGTCAATTTAATGGTGATAAAGGTTTTATTGATGAAAACTATACAAATTAATATTGTACATAAAAATAGTTTTTAGGCGCTTGTAAAAAGAACTTGATTGGCACATCATTGTAGTGTCTGTTCAAAGGGAACAGTTCTCGACCGATTCAAAATTTTAATGGAGTCTGTGATTGTCTTATTGTATTGCAAGCAATTGACGGATGTGGGGCCAAGTTGGATAGTCAGCATGCCTAGCTGCCATAGGCATTATTCTATACTAGGGTCTACATATGGTACGAATACCAAGTTTCATTAAAATCGGTTCAGTGGTTTCTATGATTCTGTAAATGCTTTTAAACACAGAGCGACATATATCTATAAAAGAGCTTCTGTCGCTGGGTGATGTTTTATAACCTAAAGCCTTCCTTGATAAATGGACTAAGAAACACAAAAATAATGATTAAACACGAACCAGTAGTTCTGGAGATTGGCACGTTCAAACAAACAAACAAATGAATTCTCCAGCTTTATAATATTAGTATAGATTAGTACGTCTGTCTTTATTATAAAGGCTACACCGGCAAGTATAGTGGGACGGTGGCAGTTAATTGGGCTCATCCGGTAGAGGGCGGTAATCAATACACGTGGCCCTGGTAACGTGTGCCGAAACATAAACGACTACGGAGCCATGCTAAGGCTTGAATAGGCCATCCACACCCCAACACTAGCTGAATATCATCTTTCATCTTTAGCGGAATGTTAATGAAATTAAGTGTAATACTAAGATCTTGGTTAAATAATTGCGTAGGTACTTGAAATTTTTTCAAATTCAAAAATTTATATTTTATACTCTTTGTAAGCCTTTGTTTACCTTATTAAATTGTCTTAATTAACAAGATCTAAAATAAAAATGTACATCAAACAATATGGGATTATGTTTTGTGTTGGTGATTGGTGACGTCATATTTATCTTTTAATCTTTTTGCGTAAAAGCATCCATCTTTCCTTTAACATATTTACAATAGCACAAATATTTAGGGAGTAGGTATATCGTAAAATTAACGAAGGAACGTATGATACATTTGTAATATGTTGTTGCATTGAAAAGTTCAAGTAATTTCTTTTTAAAATCTCATTAGGCAAAGAAAACACAAATACACAACCTTCCTTTTGTTACCTCACACGTCTGAGTACGAACTGTTTGTAAACTAACACATTTGAGTACAACATAACCACTCCAAAAAGGTTTTCATTTGAAAGAGGCTTTGTTCAATTTGTGAGAATGAAAAGGGTGTTCGTAAGCAACGCTTGCCGCGTACGTAATTGGCTTAACATTGCGTTCCTTTACACGGGAAATTTAGACAACACTTGTCTTTTAAACGAAAACGAAAACTGGTATTTAAGTCGGTATTTTGCACGTAATTATAAACCTCTCTTGTTATTTCGAAGTTGCAAAGTAAGGAAACGCAACAAGGTATGGAGTGTGCCGTCCGATTTTGTTCGAAAAACATGCTAGTTTTAACGATAATCATTCGATAGTACACTTTATTTTGTAATGTATAAAGCGCACTTTAGGTTCGACGTCAAAGGTTCTGTAGAGTTAAACATAAACTATGATTCGAAGTAAAAATACTCTTTCTTTCTTATACATAAATTTGGGTTGTGGAAATAAGAAACATTCCCAACAGAGCGAAATATCAATCAAACGAATGGATAGGATTTAAAAAGTTTCAATGATAAATTGTAGATTCGCGTCTGGCACTTGTCGAACGATGAATAGCCGTTCACAACGTTGACAGCTGTCAATTGGCGCGAAAAATCCATAGATAATATAAACGTGAAGATGAAAATGTAAAATATTTTATTCGTATATTTTGTGATGAGGAAAAAATATTTGATATTTTCTTCGAGCAAGAGAGACTAATCCTGGATACCTATTAACTTATTTAACCTTATATAGATATTATGTTATTATGTACAACGTTACAATTAAACATCTTGCAACACGAGACAACGGAACAAGAAACTTATCTCATAACAGTTTCCAATAAAACAAACGAATATTAAGACGGGATTGATTGATCTTCAGCTACTTGCTTAGACCGAGCCACCCCTTTCATTCGTAATGACTAGATTCTAGCATCGAGAATTAATATTTGATATTGTTTTGATTACTCCTTCCACGCCTCACGAACGGAACTTTGATTGGCGATTCAACTGGACTATGATTGGCTGTATACAAAGAATGCGCAGACGGAATGCGTGGTATCCGGCCTTCCTATCGAATACTTACCTACCTACCGCTTATATTATTTTTATTTACGCTCTTAGTAACAGAAATAAACTTTCTTAACCATTGTTTGCTAAATACAAAAATAATAAAATACATTTTCACTATGGAGCAGTCTATCTTCACCTTATAACTAAATTTAGAACGGAGATGCTTTTATATTTATGACTAAAAACTTTTTATTTTCCTTTGATGAAACGAGATGTCTCTAAGAATACGCTAAAGAACGCTTACTTACGAAGTTTTAAGCGCTTTATTGTCAAGTGTTGCTCAGACGAAGTCTGAAGCACTTAATGTTTTATCTAAAGTAGTTTTTCTTTTGACGATGCGAGGCTGGTCGCTCGTAAGTAGAGATATTTATAAATAGGTACACAGTCTCTGATAATTTCTTTACCTGCTCGTCATGCCGTATAACGTTGACCTTTCAATTGAAATGCATATTCTTTTAAACTGGACTAATCTTACACAAGGATAAAAATAAACATTAAAACTACAATAAAAATGAAATATGTTTGTATTCGAACTTAAACTTAATAGGCTACACTTAAAGACGATTCATGTAGCTCATAACCTTTAAGCTCAGTGATTGGTCACCTAGCAACATTTTCGACAACACTCGAACAGTAACCATATAATATTACATTGTTGGTTTTAAGAGCCAAGTGACCAGCCAATAAGGCGGCGTAGCGTGATCCCTATAGTCAGGCGACTACTTAACTTTGAACAGGATATGGCTCAGAAGACCATGGTTAGCGTGATCCGAAATTTAATAAAGCCAACTTTACTGAGCTAACATTTGCTCATATTATATTAGCATAACGAAACGCGTGTGAGCGTTGAAGTTCCGGAACTGAGAACAGGTTCCAAATACGAATTTGATATGTACGTTAAGGCGATTGACATATTTATGATATTCGGCGCGCTGATTGGCCCGCTTTAATTGAACCGACCAATCCGAGTGCTAAACAAGATATGGTTATAGATCGCGTCAACGTAAAGAAAACTTGCTGGGTCCTCTGGGAACATTTGATGATGGTACGTTCTATTCGTGTACAGAGTAGGTGTTTTCCGATAACTTTAATTTGTTTTATATCTTGTTTCTTTATTTAAATATTATGTTTGAAGATTAAAGCACTTATAGAATAATAGAACATGAAAATATAAGTCAAGAATAAAACAATAATCTAGAATAGCTTTTTTGTCTCTATCTTTAATAGTAACAGTAAATTTTCCAATAAAAATGAAATTGTCGAATGATTTGCGTAAAAGTGCTTTAATTCAGTATGACAGCGACTATTGATAAATGAATAAAGTTCTGACAATAAGGGCTTTAATGGCTTGCTATAAAATAAGAATTGGTTTACGTATAAGCCAATATAATTGTTTGATGTGTATTATGAGCGTTATGATCTGTAGTAGTGTTCTCAAGTTATTTATGACTTGTGACATATATATAATGTCAACTACCTATAAAATAGGATATTTCGTCATATGAGTTTGATGCGTTACGACTTAAAGGCGCTTTACTTAGTAACTGAACAAATACAGTGCTTAATCACTTCTAAGTATTGAAAAGTGGCAAATAGGGGTAAGAGTTTTCGTTGAGTTTTATTTTGTATAAGTAATTTATGTGATGCAGGCATTGTGAGCGTAATGTTCGACCTTGATATAAACATATATTTTCAGTCAAGTATGTGAATATTTATTAATAATTTTATTTGTATTTCATTTGTTTGTTAACGTATCGAAATACGATATACGATAGCGTTTCTTCATTTTACTTTTTATTTTTCACAAAACTTTATTAAATTTAAAATCGTCTCAATATTTACAGTATTCTAATAAAAAGTTTTCAGGTCAGTGATTGGGCAGGTTGCCATTTAGGGCTGACCCTATTAAGAATAGGGTTTACGTAAGACAAGTCTCTAATGGCGTTTAACGAGCTCTGAAACAGTCTGATCAATTAAAAGCTATCGATCGCGGTCAGATTTGCCTTATTCTTGGAATCTTACATAGCCCTAGTGGAAGTATTTTTATCGTGGTCCGAGATTGGAATCAGATTTAAATTCGATTTTGTAATGTGCCTTTAATTGGACTTTCTATTTTCAAATTTAAGTTGACAGTATCAGTTTTGAGGAAGAGTTTTAATATATTTTTTCGAGTGTATAATGGAGAGTAATAAATGTTAAGTTTGATAGCTCTTTTAATTTTGATTCCGATTGTTTAACACGTAACTTGGTTCAGCTAGTTACGCAGTCTGTGAGATTGAATACGTAGTTAAGTATACCAGCTTAGCAGTAAGGTCTACACCTGTGTGTGTCTACCTAGCTTTTGTTACACACCATTTGATTGGACTGGAGGCGCCTAGAGCAAATCCCCTGATCTTCCATTTACCGACCACCCTCTGATTAATTTGTCACCGGAATATTAGATATATTGTTAGATACTGATTGCTTGCATATTGAACTATGTATAGATTCTGCCAAATGCAATCAACTAAAGAAATTTGGCAAGCAACAACCATTATGTAAGTCAGCTATTCTATGTACGTGCGTCCTTAAAGTATTAATTGATGCTTTAGAGATATCAATGAGATTCTATCATACGTTTTTGTTCATAATCTAGCTGTGTTTTCAATGCTTACGGCACAATTCTAGCCTAAAATAGATACACTAAAAAACACTAACGTTACGTGCCGTTTATAGATAAAATGTTTAGCTCCCGTAGCGTTATCGGAAAATAAGGTATTTTTCCCGATAAAATCCTCCGTGAGTATATTGATGTTTACGTTGATAGTAAACAGTTTGTTTTTAGTTTATCCGATAATTTTTACCTCATAAAATTGTTCTACGGCGTAGTGTTTTTCTCTAAGTCGCCTACGTATCTTGCATGTGGGACAACAAACATCGTATAATTCATTGAATTTGACCGTGATTGGTAATAATGTAACCGTGTTTAAATATAAAAGATATGGTCGATTTTTGATTAAAAAATTCACTACGCGTGTGTTTTAGAGATGTTACATTGGCAAATCGAATTTAATTATTTTAGTGAATGCAATGACATTTTTCGCGTTTTTTACGATTATGATAAATTGGACTATGAAATTTTTTTGCCACTATTGCTTGACAATAAAAATACTTATTATTATTTATCTTTATATTTACGTATTCTCTGACTATACATATTCCGTTCGTTATTGAAATAGTGTATTCTATGAAAGTTATCTAAAAATCGTTGTCGTTTCGTCGGTTATTCAATATCGGAAATCCTGATACAGCTCTTTCCTCTTTGGCTGGGATTCCATTCAGTTTAACTGATTGAATACGATTTAATCGGTGTTTCGTGTCTAACCAACGCCTCGATTTCTATTCAATCAGAAGCTGCGCAATCTCGTCAAGTACCAAGTAATATAGTGCTGCTCCAATCTTTGTTAGTACCCATTCAAATGAATGAAGTTAATTGCTTAAGAGATGCAATCTGTTTCAATATTGGACTGTGATGTACTTTTATTAAACTGTTTCCCCAGTGTTACAGATAAATTCTTTTTTGATACATATTTATTTGAATTTGAAATTAGAATTAATGAAACGTCTATAGGGATTTAGTTTTTAGAAGAAGTAGTCAGGGTATAGGACGATTTCTAAGGTACTTTAGTTGTAGAATGTTTAAGGTGTGTGTGTGTGTGTGTGATCTCTTTACAAATGCGAATAAAAGACTTTAAAATAAAAAATTAAGACTTATAAACAATAATGTGAATAAATTCATAAACATCGCGTTATCCATAAATATAAACAATGGAGGGGAATGTTTACATTTAATTAGTAGCAAAATATTTAAAAAAATTAATGAAACGGAGCGTTAACTCGTTATTGATTATTATAATGTATCTATAATTGTTTTATAATTAAGGACTATTGACAAACGAGATTATTGAATCTATTATCTCCTACAGAATGCTTACAAAAGTGGAAAGCAACCTATAAAAACGGGTGAGAATATCAGTGTAGGGATAACGCAAGGAAAACGAATGAGATATTTTTTCTCGCTGCGATGCCAATGCGATGGGATTACGTTACCGAAGACGCGGCCTGGCTTTGATATTCTTTTTACTTATTCTCTGATAGCGTTTGCCCATAAACGTGTCCTTTTTATTTAAGTATTTTGTTGCTTTTATAGATCGAATAAAATTCTACGGAAGATTTCTAAACCTCTATTTTATTGGAAGAATTGAATCGACCCATTCATCGCTTTAACACTTTTATTGTTTCACTCCAAATGCGAGTGAGACACTAGAAAATTCGAATTTTAAAAATAAATTGAAAAATTAAAATGCTATCGGTTGTTTAATATGAAACTTTGCAGTGCAGAACTGAGACTGGGTCACACGAATGTTTTTCAATTTAATTGAGTGAGAATGTCGGATAAATTTTGTAAATATTGGACGCTTTGTGGTAACCGCATGACTTTTATTGTTTTCCTTTGAAATGTTAAAAGCCACTGTTTATTGTGTTTTAAACTTAAACCGCTAAAGAGGTAGTTGGAGAGACATTTGCTGTTTAATGGAAGGATTTTCTGCTAGTAGTTAATACCGGAGAATAGTTTAAGTGAAGAATTGGTTGGTTATCGGTAAAATATTTTGGGTAGTATCCGTTGAGCGTTGTATGGTATCGGGGGTTGAGTTTTGGCAACATTGGGATATAAAAGGGCAGTCGGAGTACGTTGCTCATACTTAGCGATGTTTGTCGCGCTGAAGGCGTCACTGATTTGGCGCCGAGCCAACTTCCTTGAGCTTTTGTGACATCAGCGTGCAACTGTTGCTACATCTCGTGCCTAAATGGTAAGAGGAGACTGTTGCTTGCTTCCGAACTTTATCCTTTTCTTATGCTTTACCGTGACTCAATGTTTAATCAATCAGCATATCAATTAACACTGTTTACATAAATTTTGACTTAGATACGTAATGAATAATAAAAAGTCGCACGCAAAGCATGAAATGATTAAATGAAATTCGCCAGACATGAGACAGTCGCAGGAAGCACAAGTTAGGAGCAAGTTCGTAAGTGTGTACAATATATTTATGATGCAAAGTTGTTGACCGTCGGCGTCGCGGTCGCGTGCTGGAGCGCGGCGTCGCGCGGGACCTTGGCACTAGTTGCGGCCGTGTGGGGCCTTGACACCAGCGCGCGACCAGAGCTGTCACCTGCGGAGGTTCCTTACCGTTGTAGAGGAGCGTCGGCTCGGGGTCTCTGGGAGAAGGACCCGGGGCGGTAGCGGCGGGCGCGGGGCTGCGGCCGCGCCCCTCGCCAACCACGTCGATCTCCTCGTCAGACTCCTCGGCCAGCTCCGCCGCAGGGGCCACCTTCCACTTCTTGGCCATGAGGCAGCGCGGCATGGCGGCGCCCGCATCGGCCTCAGCGCGGCCGCATCAGCGAGAGACAGACGAACAGAGAAAAAGAGAGAAAAGAGAAAGAGCGGCGCCCCGGGCGAGCGGCTTAGCGGGCGATCGCGCGCGTCCTCTTGCGGTTGTGGGGAGCTGGTGTGAGGGTAGCGCTTTATATAGAGCGCGGGGTGTTGCGCGCGCCGCCTCTTCGATCGCTGGGAGCGGAGGGGTGCTCATACTACCCCGCACAAACTTTGCTCGCCGCGCCAACTTTAAGCGACACTTGACGGGACGAGCACCGAACCCCACACACGATCAACCAGTGGACTCTAGTTCACCCAGAGAACACGCGACTTGCCTCGATAACACGCTGGAGATAAACTTATATCCAAGCGCAGAGAAAATCGCGGCGCTAACTTCACCAGACCTTCAATTGTTTTATTTACTTTCAAACACTTTGTTTGAGTAAGTAAAGTAACTTAGAACTGAGCAAATGCATTTATTTTAGTGTAGATACAGGCTACAGTAAAGTATTGACTGTTAGAATCATATATTTAAATGGTTTTTAAAGTTTAGTTGTTTGAAATATTAATTTAAAAAGTTTACAAAAGTTTTACGGCGCGCGACGCGATGCTGGAAAATGTTCATGTTTCTTTTGAGTTGTTATGACATGGATAGTTCATGTACAGGGTGGGTAGAAAACAAGGTTAAGTTAATAAAGCGTGACGTGTATTGTTAGCTAAAGGCGAGTTAGCTAAGATGAATGGTGAGCCGCTCAGGGCCTTCCTCCGACATCCCGAGGGACAAAGATAAGAAGCCCCCATAATACACTTATTTTTCATCGAGTCTGCTGTAATATTTTTATTGACAACTAAGCCAGCGGCTGGAAACGAAGTTTCTGTCGATTTGTTTTATCTATGCACTTTAATCAAAGTTTTTTACTGGAATATAAAGTTAAATAACTTAGTTCAATATCAGAAACTATTTTTTAAGACATAAATGCAACTTAAAATAGCTTTTGAAATAATTTGAATAGTTTTAAAAAGTTTTAAACAACTTTTTGATCCGTTAATTAGACGTGTAAGGTTTAGGAAAAGTAACATTAGTTCGTTTTAAAATAAGTTTAAATACGTTTTATTTTCGACTGAAGGCATTTGTAAAGTGATTTGGAAAATAATTATGTAATGTTGCAGTGCGGGATGTGGAGGTTGGCTCGTTGCCAGGTGGGTTAAAGTTAAGGAGGGGTAGTAAGAGAAAATGAAATTAAATGTAATTTAAATATATCCAGTACATGCATGCATATAAAAATTTAATATTCTCTCACTGCTTGATCACATGCGCAGGGGTAGTAAATAACTTAGAACATTTGTCGTTTTAGCTCTTTGAGGATTACAAAAGTGTTAAAACAATTCCTGAAATTCCCCGCGCTATTGGATTTTAGAAGGTTTCGTTTCGGAGCCGAAAATAAAGTTAGAAAATAAATTTCAACACCACACAGTGAAAAAAGAGCCGCACTGGAGTATTTTCCTGCGTGTGTTTGTAAACAAGTCAACTTTATTTAGACAATTTGCGGGTGCAGTTCACTCGACGCTGTAGTAAAATTAAGGCGGTATTCCCGTACTATGTCATTCATCCGTTTATTCCAGCGAAACCAATAGTAGCTCCATTCAGTAAAGACCTGATTTCTAGTTCAGTGTCAAGCTATTTTCAGAAAGTTCAAACACCTTTGACTGAACTAAGTTCTAGATCGCTTGAGTCTGTTTAATTTTATAGAAATAGTTCTTTACGAAGTCGGCGTTGGGGCTTTGATGGTAAACTTTTAATCCTCGCGGCTAAGTATTATCTTATGCTTAATGAAAGGGATTTATTTGACATCTTTGTCAGTTTAGGGAAGCGAGCTTTGTGGCTTCTTGTCTCGGGGATTGTTGTATGAGTACGATCATTATGATGTCAATTAAATCTTGAAGAAGTACGAAGTGGTCATTTGGTCCGATGAAGAATTTATAAAAATACCTTATGAACATAAACTTATTAAAACATTGGATTGTTACAGTTTCTATTGCGGAAAAATAATGTAGTTGTTAATGTGGCAATGTATGTTTTTCAGTTTCCGATTTTTTATACTCAATATTATGCTTACCACCGTAATTTTCTTATTAGAAAAAGTAAAAAAAAATCTGGTGGAAATCTACTACGAAACTTAGACCTGCTGCTTAGTGAGGTTCTCCGTAATCCTTAAGCTTTTTTCGAGCCATGAAAAATATTAATCCCCTTCCTCCGCCCAGGGTTAGGCGAGTGGAAGTGTCAGACTCTTACTGACTAAAACCCAATCCGTTTTTTCACTTGATCTAGGCTGAGGCCTCGGTTCCTACTTGTGCTTGCCCCGCAACCATCAGACCACTGCTGTGGTGGTCTGTTGACTCTTTGAAGCGTGCGCGAAACTCTACAGGTCCGTATAACCAGACCCGAGCATAAGGTCGGGCGACCCTTGCTCTTCATCCGCAGACTTGTTCAAGGTGGCAAAATCCTCACGCAATTTGGGGATTGCAGCTAGTTCATTGAAATTTTAGATGGATTTTGCTATCTGTCATTTATGGACGTTTTGTAGGACATGACCCAGGTAGAACACATCCCTTTAGTTTTGCTTTGTTTCGTAAGACTTCTCAATCAGTGTAGACGAATGGTTGACAGAATTCAATAAATAAAGAGTGCCATATGTCGAATGCGCGTGGCCAATTTTCTTAGGTTTTCTTTCTTTCGTAAATTTACCCTCATATTTTTATAATAAACTAGCTATTTTCGCGCGGTTTCACCCGCTGCTTGGCTCCATTTAATTGTAGCCTGTAGCACTCAGAAATATTGTAGCTACCTATCAATGAAAGAATTTTGGAAATCCAACCACCGGTTCTTAAGATTACTCTCTACATACAAACTATATGTTCAAAAATTTCATAAATGATAATGTATTGAATTAATATCTCTTGAAAGACTTGTGAGCATTAATGTTTAAGAAAGTAAATCGTAACGGTTTAACTAGTTCCCTAAGTTTACAAGCATAATTAAGTTTATAGTGAAAACGATCGCTAGGAAGGTTTTAGTTAATAGTTTCTCCAGTAAATTATGAAGTTAGCTTATCAAAGTTAAACCTAATCTTATAGTTTACGAAAATTAACAGATGTTTCAGGCTAGCGATACTAGTTGTAAATTGTTTTATAGTAAATGTAATAAATGGGGATTGAGATTGTGGCTGAGCATCTGGCTGCCGCTAGTTCACAACTCTTTATGTGATCCACAAATTGTTGTTCCAGGTCTAGGTGTTATGTATATGGAAATTTATATGTTTGTAAACTACACAGAAGAAAAAAAAAGTGTGGGGCAGTGATGGTTTTTTAAAAATCGGTGTCATGAAAATAAGCGGAAAATATTACTTAAACGCGTGTTCGATATTAGCTTTTTTGTGGGATAGACTGGCAAGGAGAAGACGTATCTACGTATCATTTTATGGTAAGGAGTCGACGAAATCGTTGGATCAGAAGTGCGTTTTTGAACACAATGTTGTTTGTGCTGATGTGCTGCGAGGCCGTGGTCAAGGTCAATCTGATCGAATGTCTGCCATGGCTCTCCTTTGATGCAGACTAATTTAAAATGTAAGCGTGATGGTAACGAAAACAACCCTAAATTAATTGCAGTTTTATAAACCTATTAAAACTAAAATATAAAACCCATCATTGCACACAGTTCTGAAATTGATTCAAGGAGATAAGTGTGCAATAAAGATAAAAATCAAATAGCAAAATTGTCAACAATTTATGAACGGTCTGAAGGCGTTCAAACCCGATGAACTCCGGGCGGAAATGAAATGTGACGCGACCAGTGACGGAATCGGATTATTCCGGAGCGAACGGTAGATACTGGTAAATACCTCGTCTTTTCTTGTAATAAAATATCAATTCAACTAGAATGAAGATGGCGACTAAGTTTTAAATGTCGATCTTTTAGATTAATTCAAAACATTACTCACGTGTATTTTTCTTTTTTTAGACACCTTTGACGACACAAAGATTTAATATGTCGTGTGACTTTTATTCTATTCTGAGTGCTGACGAAGGTACCTAGCGGCTTTCCAATTCGAAACTTAAATTCGTTTTATCTAACAATTCTTTGTCTGTGTGTCTTTATTTGAAATATTATGAATAATATTTCTTTTACGAGAGTATAGACAAAATACGACTGACAAAATAATATATTTATATTTATTATTTTTTTCACTGATAGACGAACTGGATTTAAATTTTTCATACTCCATCTTCATTCAGACATCACATCGCTTAATATACTACTGTCGATGACAGCTTCATAAGGTTATTTTTTTATTACTCTCGTTTGGCCGTAGGAAACCACAGATTATAAAGTTCAGGTTTACAAGTTGTCAGCTCAGCTGATTGGTACTTACGACATCACGGAAAGAGAAAGTGATAAATTGATAAATGTGTTTTATAGACTGGGTACTTTAGTTAGTCGAATTAAACTTCAAATTAAAACCTTTTTTTTTTTGAATGTCATTTATTTGGATTGTAGTTTCATACCCGTTAACGATTGAATACTGTCCCATTTTTTAATTATTTTGTCTGTTTTCGATCGCAGCGTAGTCTTGCTTAGTATTTTCAAAAAAGTTAAACAATAATAAATTTTGGTAGACAATTGGCAGAATAGGGACATCGGCGTCGGTAGGCACATTATTATAACTATAAAACAGGAACATCTTGAAAAGATTTATTAAAATTAAAAAAAAAAACTATGATCACAGTTTGTAAGGCACCACGGAATTTTTAAAACATTGGATTTCAATTTTCAAAATTGACATCGAATCAAATTCTTGTAATCTCTATTTGTACCAGATCAGTAGGATCTAGGATCACTTCTAGACAAAGTTTTTAAAATCGCTGCTGAACAATGGCTGTTATATTTAATATGATATTAATGATCCGGAGTCTGCCCATAGTGATCCGTCTAATGAAGCGATCCGATTGCCAACCTGTTAAATAAAAAACGTTTATTTCGTTGTACTTACTTACATACATGTGTGCCGCTCCCCCAATGTCCATGTGGTTATTCAAAGCGAACGCAGCCGCGGGCGACGCTTGTTTGTGTCCGATGGCAAATGCGTTTGTCAATTTTTATGGTAACCCGACAAAATTGAATGAACATCATGTTTCTGTGTTTTACTATAGTTATGTTAGGTATCGGATTTTGTCAAAAGGTATGCTGTCTTTTTTAACATTATATAAAAATAACATTTAATTGTATTTAAAATTTTAAATTATTTGTTTTGACTAAGGAAACTACCTAATAACGATACTTTTTATTCAGCATATAAATTACATTTTTAAATATTTCATAAAAACACACAATTATATTTCACAAAAACATTTAAATATAAAAAATAGTGTCCCACCGGTACCGGGAACAGGGTCCTAGCTACCGGTGGTCAGGGCTCCAGAGAAAGGAACCGATTAATTAATTAATTACGATTTATTGTCAATAATATTTCTATAATTCAGTAGGTATAGTGTCGTGCTAGTTGCGCAACCTATTAACCTATCCTTCTCTATTTTAGATTCGAGACTTTTAAAATTAGGTGTAACTTCATAATATTTTACCCAACACTGATATTTTTCAAAATGGAAACCTCGACTGATAATCATTAAATGATTTCTCTTGCCTAGGGTATTGAGAGAGGGAGGGCCCCGACTTATATTATAAGTTATCCAAATAAGAAAAAAAGATACGGCTTTTTATTGCCAATTAGCTTTGCATCGCAGTTTTAACTCCTTAGTTCAAAACTTTGTTTACCGAAGGCACTGTTACTACACAATACAAAATATTTAATGATTGTAGAATTTTAAAATGAATCAATTAGTTTATGAGCCTATTGAATTCAAACAAACATTCAAACTGTTCTTTTTATTTATCAAATTAGAATAGATATTTAATTTATAACCTGGATGACTGAGCGACAAACGCTTGGTTTTTTTACATTTTCCGATATTAAATCACGTTTTCTATGCCATTTTTAGCTTTCAGATTATATATTAGGTATATGTATAGAAGAATTTTTATTTAAATAATACAAAATCAAATATTTCAAATATTTCAACAGTTTCAACAGTAACGTATTGGATAGAGTTAGACCTTCTTTACGTGAGAAGCCTTCTATAAATAAACTTTTTTTATTTACAGTAAGGTATAATGTTGTATTTACCTTTAAGTATTTTGTTACACCTACTTTAAGAACTTTCATGTATTTATTATAATATACTGGTGTAAACAAATGTTGGTAAATCTAAATAAATAAATAAATAAATAATTTTTATCTATTCATTCCGTTAATTAATGACCGCAACTGCCCTGTACAACCAACAAAGAGGCTAGATCAGTAAAGTTTGTAATATGTATGCCCCTAACTCGGTTTTATTGCGGGAAAATTGCGTAAACAGACCATTATATTAAATTAATACTGACGATGTGCACTTGTTTAATTACTGACTGATCGATAGTAAGGTATCAGAATTGTAAAATCGTGTTAAAACCTTATTCATTTATATTTAAATTAAAATTAATAAAATATCAATAATTTTAATCAAGAATGCATAAATTGATTTCAATAATTGTTGCATTTTATGAAATAAAATTGTACAAATGTATCAAAGAAAACTACAACAAATTTTTATTTTATTTAGAGATAGGTGTCCATCACAACTAGAAATAAATTAGTAACAGCAGTATTAATGAATACCTATTTTAATTAATTTCTGTCCACAAACCACTTAACTCGAACAAATTTCAATCAAATAATAGAAATTAATATTTCCAAACCAATGAGTACAAAATATTCGGTGTAATATCCGTTCAGAGATAGAATATCAAATAAAACAGTACATTTGATGCAACGGAACCTGTACTATAAAACTGTGATTCGATCTTCCCCTTTTTATTAGTTCACGTCATACGCAAAGGCCAGAAAATTAAAATTTTCACCCCTCCACGTAGGTTTTATTTTTTATTTGTATGGGCAACGGGGTAACATTGTGAGTGCTTTGTTTTCCTTCGTCCGGCCAGTAATTGCATTAAAAATTGTCTGCGCGGGCCAGCCGTAACATTTTTAAAGACCTTGTTAATTGATAGAAAGGCCGTATCGCAATTCTATCATCAATGGAACTGCATTCGCTTTTTGAACCAAAAACACTTCAATTAGTTAGCCATTAAAGTCCCTATTTGCATTTTGCAAGTTCGTTTCTTGTTCACGAAGCTAATTGTCGTTAAAGTGATTGAATGATAATAAAGGTATGCGATAATTTCATTTGTTTAATAAAAGTATGAGCACAAAATTTCCTAACAGATCAAACTACAGACAGCTAACAGAACTAACAAGTCTGTTAGCGTTCGCTTTTAGCGTTTTTCCTAACCCTTTTAATAAATAACCATCCTGTTTAGTACTTATCTTCGGTACTTAAATTAGCCCCGGTATAATCAATTAATGAACTACCAAGGCCATTCAAAACGAGCTGGGGTTGGGATACGGATAAATGATTAGACTTTGACAAATTTCATTGTAAAGGCCGTCTCATGTCCATTAATCAAGGCTTTTCAATCTCCCTATACAGATAAAATGTTTTACATTTGTGTAGCTTCAATATCGTGGTCATTCGGGGAATTTTAGGTTCTTTGATATGTTCTGACAACCGTCCGGATAGTATCATTTAGCTGATCCGCCCCGCAATCGGATTAGAGTGATGCAAATAAACGTGGATCGCAAAGTATCGTGACAGTGTTTGACTAAAAACCAATGGAACTTTAAGAACTGAAACATACATGTAATTGGTGATGGCTCTCTGAGCTGTATTGACGAATGGAATTAGTCGCACTGTCCATTTACGTCAGCACCAATTTATATATTTTTTTAAATCTGTTTTTACCTGTGAACGCAATGTCCGTTTGTTTATTTAAATTTTGTTTTATTTGCTACAAATATTCTTATTTCTCGTCTAGTTTAAGATCCAATTATCCTTTCTACGTGTTATAAAACATTTAATCAAAATTATAACCAAAATTGTCATGTCTATTTTAAGCATTGCTGTCACAGTATTTTGTGGAACATAGATCCGATGGCTTGTTCGTGTGGCACTACCGTGGGTAGTTTAGGCTACCCTCGTGTACCCGGCGGCGTCCCACAATTGCTCGACCTGTGTCCGAGCGAGATTAGGGTTACTCGGTAACGTCATGGGAAGTTTAAACAAGCCGCTTGCGGGCAAACCGTGTCACTCACGTCAACTATTGGTTTTCATTAATTATTTGCCAATTATTTTAATTAATTTAGTTATAACTGGATTTTGTGAAATTACCACAACTGTTGACGATTTGGTTTCGACAACTATGGTATGGGAATTTCATATTTATGAAATATCGATTGTATTGTCTAGTATAATGGGATAAGAATTTAATTTTAAAAACTTAATTTTACATCATTGTAAATCTTACAATAAATATGAGTTCCAGTCACGGCTTGTGTCAGTGTTTAGAGAGACGTTCTGACGTCCTCGCTTCTGCCTGACGTAAGTGCTTACACCAGACACAGAAGCTTCGGTAATTACATGTGTCGAATCGGGCGGAGACGTTTGCTCCGCCCGCGTGTCGTCATTAGGAAGACTACCCGAAAGACATGGTGGAGCATACGATGGCGGTGTGTCTTGCTCGGGCTGGGCACTACCGTGTCCTCGGGAAAGTGAGTCGCTGTCGTTCCTGTCAGAGATGTGATTGCAATTGATGAAGTATATAGAAGAACGACACGAAAGGTAAGGCAAGTATGTTGTAGTATTTTTATTAAGTATTGATGTACAGAAAGTGATTAAAATATATTTTTAAAATTTCCCTATGAATTCTGATTCATATTTCCAGAGTCATATTGATTCTATTCAATAAATCCTGACATGATATTAAATCGCTCTGAGAGACTATCTCGATTTAATATCTAGTGAAAGTCAGTTAGCGAAAAAGGCGAGTCTTTAATAATTCTCTAGTGACACAGTTGCTGAGACTAATAGTGGACATAATTGGAGCAAATCTCGACTATTGATAAATGTCAAGAGGATTTAAAAGCGAGGGAGAACTCTCCCTACTCAAGATTAACGGCTCTGAAGTATTGTACCGATATTTTTTCTAAAAAGCAAATTAATTAAGGAACATTTTATCTTTTGTAACGGACGCAATTCCAAAATATACTCTGGTACAAAAAGTTTTACCAAATCTGGCTTCAAACAGTGTACCTACTGAATACTCGACCCGTTCCAGTAACTATAATTATACGAAGGTACTAAATCGGGAAAATGCTACAAATCAAAATATTTTATTAATATATCTACTTAATGCCTAATTGTATCGCAATAACTCCAGCTCAGTGTTTAACGAAAACATTGGTCACGGCGGTTAACCAAAGTTAAACACAGATTAAATAAATTTATTTTCTTTTCTTTTTCTATACTGCAACGTAGAATGAATCACAAGCTGGCTGACTAGACAGGTGGTTGCTGTTTTGATATCTTTTCTTTTTTTCTTTCTGTATCAACAAAAACTTTATTGTAAAATTAATATTTATTATTTTTATTTCTTACTGTTATTTCAATGCCTGCAACTCCATGCGACGTATACAATAAGAAAAGACAAACTACATTTAATTTGAGTTCACTTCTACATACTTTGATGATTTAATGTTATAATACAAAATTATCTTCCATACATTATCAATACACAGTTTAAAACAAAATCGCTTTCTCTGTTCTCATATAGCCTGTTAATGGTTTAGTTGGAACACAATAATTTGGCCCGGAAGTTAAGGCGCCCGTTTCTCATACATGAGGGTGCGGGTTCGAAACCTGGCAAGTACTAATGTGACTTTTTCCGACTTATATATACATGATTATTTAGACTACGACATACGGTGAAGAAAAACCATCGTAAGGAAACCTGGACTTATAATTTTTAATTATAAGTTTGAAATCGCCAATCAGTTCAGAGCAAACTTTGTGATTAATGCTCAAGACTTCTCCGCGTGAGAAGAGACCTTTGCTCAGCAGTGGGCACTATAGGCTGGTGATGATGATGACAATGAATTTAAAAGTTCAGGTTTATTATGTCTTTATTATGAAAGTACTGCAGGACAAATCGATACCTATATTTGATAAACTTTTCAATTATCAGTTATTCGATTCGAATTCCGTTACGAAATATCTTTTGTATGTCATAACAATGAAATATGTTTGATAGTTTTTTCACGTTGCGTTTTTGTTACAATGTATTGTACTCCTGCTTATATACCCGGGATATCATTGAATTAAAATTGGACAAATGTTTATAATAAATCGTTTCATATATTGAGTTAACTTTTACAACCGACCCCCGACTCCCGCATGGAACAACTCTTTGTGTAATCCACAAATAGTTGTACGGTAATTTTTTTTTATAAGTTTGAATACTTTTCGAGATATTTCGAATTTTAAAATACAAAACTACATAGGAATGAGTTTGCAAAAAGTTTCTCGTACAAAACATTCTGATCAATGCATTATTAAACAACAGCTATGTTTTAGGCATGTCAAATACGAACAAATATAGAGATAAAATTTAAAAAAAATGCATTTGCACATTCGAATTTCATCGAATAGCTTTATTGGCGAAAATTCTTTATTAAAAATCTGAAGCGCGTCCTCGCCGAATAATGTTTACGGCTGAAAAAGTCAATAAAATGCAGTGTTCCGACTGCTTGACATTTATGACATTATAACTCCATTCAATATTTAATTCACGCCAAAATTGAAAATTGGAAAATCTGATGGTCCTTTTCATTTCACACTTTCATAGGGTTGATGGGATCAGCTTGTTTGCCGCGCCGTCGAATTTCACGTTCGGTATTTTTAGGTAAACGTATTATATTCCTTTCAACTGCTAATTTCATTAAAAACACAGTAAAAGCTGACAGGATAAAAATAAAATGTTTTGCTGTAGAAAAACTTAATGTTATTCAATTCCATTTAGTACTTTGTATGGTATTCACATTTAGACGTGACTTTCCCGAAGGAAAGAGAAGCTTTAGATAAACCTTCTTAATCCAGACTAATATTATAAATGCGAAAGTACTTTGTGAAAGGACATGGGATAGTTTATATACCAAAAATCTGCAGAAAGTCACTGATCCTCGCGGACGGTGTAGCGGGCAAAAGCTAGTTACCTATAGATACAAAAAAATATAATAATATTTAAATAAAGGCAATTTTGCATTTTTTTATGTAATAGACCGGCAAACGAGCTTATGGATTACCTGATGGTAAGCAATCAGTGCCGCCCATGGGCATCCGCAACGGAGGAGTTACGAGTGTGTTGCCGAACTTTTAGGGATTAGGGTTTTGGAGATTAAGGGATTGGGAGAGGGAAAGGATTGGGCTTCCGGTAACCTCACTCACACGGCGAAACACAACGCTGTGGTTGTTTCGACCGCTTTTTTGTGAGGCCGTGGTATTCTCCGATCGAGCCGACCCTTTCGTGCCGAAGCATGGCTCTCCCACACATTTATATCAGTTAGTGTGGATTTATCAATAAAATCAAGTACGAAGGTCCGTGAGCTTGTGTTGAATTTTATGCCCTAATATAACTACACTCTGCTCACACGGCAAGAATACATCTAAGTTACATAATTAAGATATATTATTTCCATTATTACATAATTTTGTTGACAAATTTACTCAAACTACTGGATCAAGAATAGACCTTAAGTCGTCTCAAATAGACCCAAAGTCACAAAATATCACTGACCTAGACCGACTGATATTTTTGTTACAAGAATACTTGGAATATCGATGCAAAGCTTGTAGAGTCTAGTTAAAATTAAAAAGATATGCCGTTATTTTGGTAGCAGTGACCACAGTAGTTCGATTTCGAATCGGCCTACTTTTGTTCCAATTTTAAATCTGAATTATTTATTAGTAGTCTGTATTTATATGTTTTAATCTATGCTTTAAATTCAGACCAGTATTATTTAGAACACTCGTAGATGCTGTTAAAAAGAAAAGAGTTTTGCAATGTTAATGATTTTTAGTTTTTTTAAATGACTTCCATTTGACTTCCAGAAGACGAAAATCCAGATTGGTACAAAAATCTTTACCGACTGTGTTGTCTGTTTCAAAGATAACATGATAAAGGAGAAACCAATTGTTTACTTAAACTGGAACTGGCAATTTTAATTTTTTTTCATAATGTTTCCAAGATATACCTGACAATACTTGGCATGCCAGTAAATATTCAAATAAGGAATCGAAATAGGAAATGTAGTGGTAGCCTGCCCGCTTTTCATTCAACGAGGCTAGTAAACTTTTCCAAGTTACAACTAAACACCACAAAATATAAACAGTACATGAAATGAATAAAGTTCTTTTTTTCAATTAGTTGTATTTTACACTTCTCAGTCGACGCTGTTATAAAACAGATTCTTTGAATCAATATTTAAAGTTTTCGTCTATATTCCCTGAGGGCGGAACGTGGGCAGAAGTGTAGGTTGTAAAAAGCTAAATAAGAATTGACTTAAGAACTAAATAAACAAAAAAAAAAAGGAAAACTGAAAATTATCTTAAAATGTCGTGGTTTTCTCTTTGAGTGGAGGAAGAATGTGCTCGGTATACTAAGTAGTCTAGACACTATGAGCTGGGTAATAAATAATAAATCGCAGAACAAGACCCAATCATGATCCCACTTATAATATCACAAGAGCTTCTTACAAGACTGCTTGTAAATTTTCCAATTTTGCTCGCCGTACTCACGGGAATTACTGCTTTTCTTTTAGACCTAATTGCTCCTTTTGTAAGAGCCTTACCGGTCTAAAAATAATCTTTTAGGTACTACAAGAACATAATGAGGCTCCAGAAAGAACACTTACTCGCTTATAAGAGAATTGATTGAAAACACGTTAAAATTTAGGCCATGTTGTTAGTTTTTTTTAACGTGTGATTTTGACGTCAATAATTTAGATTGAAATAAAAAATACATTTTTTTGGTCGAATAGAATATGAATGGATTTTGGAGTAATCTATACTAATATTATAAAGAGGTAAAATTTGTAAGTTTGTATGTAGGGGGTAATCAGGTTTGCTAAAGAATATGGTAAAAGTCAAATAATTTATTTCAATTAGACCAATATACAACACTATTGAACAGCAGTCGACCTCTATCGAAGCTATTTGCAAACGAATTGGTATCCGCGGAAGCGAACGAAAAATGTATGAACCATTAATTAAAATTCGACCTAACTTCGTTGATTGAAAGTACTTAATTCAGCAATGTTAGTTTCAAATGCCCGCGTGCCTATTACGGCGTGGGTTATAATAGAATCAGAACTTATTTATTAAAACAACAGTTACTTTCCTCTAAAATATATTATATGGAAGAAATTAATTTCTTTACAATGCTACAAGTCATCCCATTAAAGTACTGAAGGTTCGTTTATAAGGATCGTGTTAGGTTTAATAACTTCCAAGTACTTTACATGCATACTTTTCAACCAAGGGTGCGTCTTAGGCATTCCTTTCTATGATCTAAGTATTCTTATAAGCCTTTGTCAGAACAAAGGCTAAATAAGGCGGCCAATGTTCAGAAAAATTGGGCCTAGTTTGGCAGTTTTAGCTGCACATCGTTCATTAGTGATTTCATTTGATTAAGTTGAAGTTCTGTGTTGTTGAACACAAAAGAGTGCGGTCATT